CAAAGGCCTTTTTGTATACTGTAAAATCCCCTGAAGTGATACGATATAAACTGAAACATAAATTTTCCGGAAAGATGAGAAACAATTCTCCCTCCCTGCCTCTTTTTCTTTTTTTTTTTTTTTTTTGCATGTTCTTGATGTGACTATGACATGTGAAAATGTAATATTGCTAAAATGGTGCTGGAAGATTAAAAGTAAAACTTAAATCACTCATTTAATCAGAAAAAACTTACTCCTACTTTATAAGTTTAACATCTCTGCTTGATAGAAAACTCTAAAGAGGGTACTTTTTAAATGTGTAGATTCATGATCTTTGATTCTAACATAATTCAAAAGGCAAGCAACATATTTATGTCCATGCCTCCAGGAATAACTGCTAGTATTTCTTTGATAACGTCCCCACTGAAACACCCACTAAATCTAACTTGACTTCAAATATTCAGGTTTTAGCTTAAAAAAGTAATGCATGAAGGATGGACACAAAGACAGAAAATAGACTAGTCATTGCATGGGGTGGAGAAGGAGATGGGGATTAACAACAATGGGCATGAAGAATCTTACTGTGGTGATGTAAATGATCTAAAACTGACTTATGGTGATGATTGTATCACTTGGTAAATTTACTAAAAAAAAAAAAAAAAATCATTGTACACTCGAAATGGGTGAATTTGATATATAAAAATGCTTCAAGAAAGTTATATTTAAAACTGAATACACTGAATGTGAGAAGCTAGACACCAAAAAGCATATACTATATGAATCCATTTATTTAAATTATAAAATGAGCAAAATAATTTAAGATGATAGAAGTCCCAATAGCAGCAATTCTTGGTTGAGGGGAGGATGGCTGGTACAGAGCACAAAGTGGGGTGTCTGAGGTACCCTTAACGTTCTGTCTTTACTTAGTTGTTGTTAGATAAGCTTGGTTTGTGAAAATTCAATGAGTTGCACACTTACCATGTGTGCAATTTTCAGTATATATATTATACCTCAATAAATCACTGTACTTCCTATACATATATACATGCTTGTTCAAAATTCCTTTTCAACTAAAAAAATATGGGCAACTCTATGCAGAATAAGGCTGTTATGCCACATGTTTAAAATAGTCATAAAAAGCTGGCGTGAAGATATCATTACATATGATATTCAAACTTCCCACATTTAGATGGAATCCATGTCCAATTTATAAGAAGGACTCCATTCGGAGCTTTTAATGACAAGGGAATAGCATCCAGGCTAGTTTATCATCAAATTGTCAAGGTGTACTGGGTCTATAGGGATGGATGATGGTGGAGGGCTGGCTTCAGGCACGTTTGGAAGAGGGCCTAGAGAGAGTAAGCTGTGCACAGCAGACACCAATAAGCTTGTGAAGCCATGACAGAAAAGGATGGGTGAAGGGTTACTGAAGAGAAGCTGTTTCCCACGATCTTTTTTGGCGTTCATCCACTTACATATCTAATATCACTTTGGTCTCTTCCGGTTCCACTAACGCTGCAATCCTTCAAGGACGAGCCTAACACTTTCTCTTCAGTGAATACTCCCTAATATCATCTAGGTAAAAGAGTATTCCTTCTTGTTTTGAACTCTTCAATAAATGTAACAGATAAAGATAAATTACTGAACAAATGATATAGCTATTTGTTTTTTATTGGCCAACAAACTACAGTTTTGTGGACAGGAACCATGCCAGACTTATTTAACCACCAAACTGCAGAGTAACTGTCATAGTGAACGGCATATCATGGACTTTCAGGTATTGGTGGAATTAATAAATGCAAGTTTTATCAACCAGACTTCAATAAAAATGATTGAAGGGAAAAAAATGCAAGTATTTCCATTAACAGCTGAAGAAAACATAAACACCTCAGCTGCATTAAAAATGTAAAATTTATGTAGTTATCGGTTGCCAACAGTCATTTTCGCATTTATATTCAAAAGCTATATGTACCATCTTTTTAAACTTTTAAGTATATAAAGTAAAAAGAAACAAAAATGACTCAGAAAATAAAGTTAAGAAAGTTTTTAAATGGCATGACAAAATTGGATGGTGTATTTCTAAATTTATACATATATTTGATTTGATTTGAAATATATATATATTTGGTTTGATTTGAAATATATATATATGCATATATTTGATTATTACATATTAAAAGTTAGTTTTAGGTAAGATAACAGAAACTCTGCCCTCTAGAAGCCTACAATTTACTTTACACAAGAAAACTGTCTAAAATATGATACTACACATTTACTGTTTGGATGCAAAAATGATGGATGTAGATGATAACAGGTGAGTGGCCTCAGAAGTTCTGAGAAGGATAAATAAATGTGTTCTAGTAGTATAATGAAAAAGTCTTCTGGTAGTATAATGAAAAAAGTAAAGCACAGACACTCAGAGAAATCGGGGACAGAATGGCATGAGCACACACTTAGATTTGAGAACACCAGGCTCAATCTGAAAGGCAGTGAGGAAACTGACTTCTCTAGAGCAGATATCAGATTGCATAGTTCTACTGGGGAAAAAAATGTGGAAATCACATGTCATACCCTTTCTGATTCAAGTCCCCAATTTTTCACACCTAACTAACATGTTAGTATACAGTTTTATTTATGCATTCATTCAATGTGTATTCAAACATCTGCATGAATAGAAGTCCCAATAGCCTGTGACATCTGTCTAATTTATGAGGCTGAAGTAAGTTAGGAAGCGTTTTTAACAAGGTTATGCAAAGACACACAAATAATTTTTTGAGTTTAGTGATAATCCTCCCATGTAGAGACATGCTTAAAACTTTTAGGCTGATATAATATCTTTCTAGAAGTTTAAATGAAAGAAAACACAATAATCTAAAACACCTTTTGGAAAAGATTTTTTCTACTATTATTTTAATTCAAACACATTATTTAAACTGTTGACATCATAATTAATATTATGTGCCCATATCATAATTAGTAATTATGAACATTATTTAACATGCTATCATTGGCGTGACAGTGAGAGTTCATTATAAAGCAGCTTAAGTGGACGTGATCGTCCCATATCTTGGTAGCTTACAAAATGGGACCAGATTTCTTCTCTCCATTTATTTTGGACAAGTGTAAATGTAGTACATTTAATGGTCTAAATACAAGCAAGAAACTTGCCTCCATGGAGAATCAACCACAGCTATTTTAACTGACAATTCTTAGTTGAGAACCCCCCAGGAAGGCTTCAACAAATGATTTACTCAGGGTGCTTAAAGCAATTTTACTCTGCAGATTTGTCACTTTACAGATGCATCCCATATAATTCAGTAGCTCCAGAGAGAGGATCCACTGTAACTATTTTTTGCAATAATTATAAGATTAAGGGCTTATTTTGGGAGCCATTAATAATATCAATGAAAGGATTAAGACAATTCTGGTGAAAATCATATAGAGATCAAAAAGCTAGTGAAGTTAATGCTTCTGCTACATTTTAAATGAAAACCTAATCACAGAAAAGCAGAAAATCCTCCTCAACCCACTTCCCGAATGGATTCTGAAGAATCCTGTGTTTGGTTTTCTGACTGAAACAAATAAAATAACAATTTAGTCATGGTGCCCATTCCATACTACTTATGGAATAACCACTCCTGAAAGATGATTATAACACCTACAGGCAACAAAATGATTAGATTTCTTTTAGGTATAACGTCAGAGAATTTAGCCATAGCTGGAGGTATGTCAATATATAACAACAAGAGACAACAAGAACAACCAAATGCAACCAAACTTAAATGGAATCGCTAATTTTAAAATCTTATTTCTCATTAACACTCACCTTAGCATGAGCCAGCAATTTAGAAATAGACAAATAAAAGCTATCAGATTTGCCCAGAGACCACTATCCTTCATGTATACCTCAGGTGCTCTGATCATCAAAATCCTGGCATGTGATAATTTCTTTGAATAATTTATACGACAGAAATTTATAAAAATATTGACTATCAATGTAAATATCAGAATTTTAAGTATCAAGAAGGTTAAAAATAAGGCAGGCTTTCTTAAGTACAAGAAAGATAATCCTTAAAATCCACTGTCTTTGCTTTTATAATTCAGTTCATTTTTACATATGTTTGATCTCCCCCATATTTTAAGAAGTCCTTAAACAAAAGAAAGAGATGCCTAAATAGAAATCCTAATGAAAAACAAATTTACTAAGTAAATCATATATTGATTAAGTTTTTAAAAATTACTTTGTGAGCAAGTAGTCAGAAAGTATGAAGGCTTATCGTAAATGAATGACTCTGTCACTGATTTCTGAGAAATCATAATAAGTGAACAAATATTTGAGATATATTTAATATTTAACTAATTTATCAAGAAATTTTAATATAAACTTTCTATAGTATAGATTCTAATTGACCAGTCTCTTTAGAATTGAAGATTTTTTTTACTTATCCAGTGATATTCTATGGTACTTTATACTATTTTACTATGGTAATATTTCAGATAGTTTAAATGTATTAAATAAATTAATTTATATACTAGATATCAAAGTAATATTTTTTATTGTTTTCCAAGGCCAAATAATCATTACTCAATAGTCTTTATTATTTTTTGATTAATAGTTATAAAATTGCCTCTGAATTTAAATTTTACTCTTTTTCCCACACTAATGGAAATCATTGTTAGCAGTAAAATAATTTTTCTGTAATTTCTGTAGAAAATTACATAATTCTGTTTATGAAAACTGAAAAATAAATTTAGTTTCTCAACTAATGAACTCAGTTCTAGAGAACACAGAATAGAACACAGGAAACAATAAATAATCTAATACATTCTAATATTTTCCAAATGCCATTTACAATTTCTAGCACTAGCATTTTAGTGATATGGGGAATAGTTTGATATTGAAAAAGTAGTTCAAAGTATCCTAAAGTACACAATTTTATGTGTACCTATGCTCAGTATGTCACACAGATGCATGTTGAGAGTTTATATTAAATGCACAAAGAATATTAGAAATATCATACCTTTGAGACATAATCTTATAGGCATCAGGCAGATAGCATCGTATATTCTCCATCTGAGCAGGGTCAGAGTCACAAATTTTGTCATCAGTCCTCCCATAGTTGGCACTTTCAATCATGATGACATCTGTTCCTGGACAGCGGAGTTCTATGGGGTAGCTCTCACAGGAGAGCTCTCTGCGGACCACAGCCATTGGAATTGGGGCACGGCTGAAAGCTACCAGGAGGAGGAAGAAAAATAAGTCATCTTTGTTACACAGAAAGGAAAAGTACCCATTTCTGATATACTAATATAAAGGAATAAAGCAGTTGCAATTCATAATTTTAACTAAAAGTAGACTATCTCTCATTTCAGTAACTTGACAGAATTTTAAAAAATCTAGCTATAACAATTATTTCTTAGAAACCTTATCTCACAGATATTTTTCTTATAAATGGAACAAAGCACTCTGGATTTTCTAAAACACTGGCTGGTATGTGAGGTAAAGACTATAGAGAAATATCATGCAGTTTGTAAAACAAGATTCTCAGATTAACCTCAGGAATACTGTGTGTATTTGTTTTGTTTTTTAATAGAAACCATGAACGACAACAACAAAAAACGTACTGCTCGAGTTTATATATACCTATTTAAATAATCTATTTCAATTTTGAAACAGTTTCATTGTTTCAGGTAATAACATAATCAGTATATTTTTTGAGTTAATTATAGAAATAGGGAATGTTCTTTAAGAAAACAGAGATTTGTAAGGAGACAAATTAAATTTTCCTTCAGCTCCTTCCCACACCTTTCCCCCAATGTCAAGAGGTAAGCAGTTAACAATGTGGTGACTTTTCTATTAGAACTGTCTACAGAAAAAAAACAAACATTGTATATTTCTTCCCATCCCTCTTTTAATTTTACTTAAGTAACTTTTAATCGGGTAGTATCACACTACACACATTGTTTCATATATTGATTTATTTTACTTATTAATTTAACAATATATGGTGGAAGTCTTTTCATTCCTATGTTGTATCCCTCATTTTTAATGGCTACATTACATATACATATAAAACATTATTTAATTGGGCTTATGTTAATGGGCACTTAGAAATGATTGACATGTATACACTGATGTGTATAAAATGGATGACTACAAAGAACCTGCGTATAAAAAAAAAATAAAATAAAATTCAAAAAAAAAGAAATGTCCCAGTGTTTTTGTGTCATAATACTGCAAGAAGTATAAACCTACCTGTGTACCTTGGCTATAATATTTTAGAAAAAATGTAACTATCCAAATACATTTTATGGTATATGTTAATAAATGAAATTGATGAAGGCATAAATATATTTGAAATTTGGCAAATATCAACAACTAGATGTCCAAAAAACTTAATACAAATGTACACTTCCACCAGCAGTACTTTCCTCTTCAAAACTACACATTACCAATTCCTTTATACTTTGCCAATGTGATAGACAAAGAATGATATAACATCCTTATTTGAATTTTCACCACTTTATTTATACAATGAAATACATTTCCATGTTTCTTGACCCTTCATCTTTTTTTTATTATACATTACTATTGTAAAAGTTCTTTGGATAGAAGAAAATTGAAAAGTTGTCCTTTATACTTGTGGCAAATATGGTTTTCTAGTTTGTTATTTGGTTTCATATGTTTGCTGAATATATATATTTCATTTTTATACAGCAAACTGTCTATCTTTTCACGTCAGATTTAACAGTTTCACAATCCAAGACTGTGGATATAATCAGTACATTATTGGAAGACAGTCAAATGTTTAATTGTAAAAACTCAACAAGTCTTCTTTTAAAAGCACATAATTGAAATTCTTAAATTCTTTACCAACCAGCCAGTAAGGTGATTTTCACATAAGAGAATTATTTATAGAGATAAATACATGATAGCTATAAATTTGCATTGATAGTTGATTAACTCACTAATGCTGGCACATACATAAAAATGTATTTAAATAAATACATTCACCTTTTCTTATGGCTTTTTTAGTAAGCATGAAATGTGGAAAGCAAAGAAGGGAGGAGAGAAGCAAGAAAGTGTAAAAAGAGTAGGAATAGGGAAAAAGATTTTATTACTATAAATATTTTCACTTGAAACTCTACAGAAAATATTGATTTGGTTTATGAAACCATACCTATTATTTCAAAATAGAAAATGACATTAGTTTTTATCCCATTTCTATACCATTTTGGAAAAACTATGCATGTACCAAGGACCCCACGCATAACTTCCGAATAGGTCACTCAAGCTGCACTGCACAGTTAATTCCATTCTGGTTGTCATTCAACATCTTTCTTGTTTTGTCCTCAACCCCCCTCAAATACAGACAGACAGATACACACACGCAAACACACACACCTGAATCTAGCAAATCCACAGCACTGATCAAAGAGAGTTAACACAAAGATTGGTGGTAATAATTTTTTTATAAATAAATTTATTTTATTTTTGGCTGCATTGGGTCTTCGTTGCTGCAAGCGGGCTTTCTCTAGCTGTGGTGAGCTGGGACTACTCTTTGTTGTGGTGCACAGGCTTCTCATTGCGGTGGCTTCTCTTGTTGAAGGGCACGGGCTCTAAAGCGCAGGCTCAGTAGTTGTGGCGCACAGGCATAGCTGCTCCGCGGCATGTGGGATCTTCTCGGAGCAGGGCTCGCACCCATGTCCCCTGCATTAGCAGGCAGATTCTTAACCACTGTGCCACCAGGGAAGCCCGGTAACAATATTTTTAAAGTTTGTTCTTGAGTCAACATTTTGACAGGGTAGTCTCACAACAGACACTGAATTTCTGAAATGTGTGTTTCTATGGTTCCTAAAATATATGTATTTATCATTTAGAAATTAGATGGCTGTTTAAACATGAAGTCATTTTTAATACTCAGATTCTATTTTAATGGAAAAAGATATTTTCATTACTGTATATAGCATTTTAAGCAATAAAATCACTGAACAATAAAAATGTTCCAATTTGGGAATCCGGTTTCACATTTTCAATCAGTTTAAATAGAATAATAGATATTTTTTGCTTACTTTTTTTATAAAATGTTCTTGAAATCAGAATTTTTCAGAATGCTTTACAGTAAACTTTTGAGCATTTGCTGAGACAATTTTTTTCTTAACTTTGGTATAGCCATTTTTTAAAAATCAGATTGAAACTGCTTCCAAACATTGAGTTGATCTTGCTATATTTTGTTAACCTAACCTATTAAGTCATATTGTTAAAAAGCAAGTTAATTTAACAAAGAAATAAAAATAAGCAAATAATAAAGTCAAAGCGTTGTTTGACTAAGTGGACAATTTGGTTGATTAAACTCATCAGTCCATTTTGCTAAAATGCGTACACAGACATAGCTTTAATCTGGGTCTTAACTGTCAAAAACATGATTTAGAACCAGACAGTGGCAAAGTCAACTAAAATGTCGAGGGCAAATTTCCCATGTATCTCGTTTGAGCCTATAAGGATTATTCAAAAGTTATAGATATGGAAATTTTTACAGGGTACTTGGGTTGATTTGTGGATGCTTTCTTCCATTTAACATATAATTGCATTAGTATCAGTAACTCAGTGATAAATTGCATTCCTGAATAATGAATGCTTTGTTTAAAGGAATGTATTACTGGAAACTATTCTATAATATATCTAATTAGCTATTTAAATTATTTTAATTACATTGCTAAATGCTTTAATCAGCAACTAAAGTCCAATGGAAAAATATGCTTAAGTTAAAAGACTTTTATTGTTGTTGTTTTGTCTTTCTTACCATTCAGTTACCATGCTAACAACGGAGAGACTTTGGTTACTGGAGAAAACAACTAAGACACGGAAAATGTCAACAATTCAATGCAAGTTAGCCAGTGAAATAATACGGGGAAAAGATGGCACATTCTGTACGCGGGCCTCTCACTGTTGTGGCCTCTCCCGTTGTGGAGCACAGGCTCCGGACGCGCAGGCCCAGCGGCCATGGCTCACGGGCCCAGCTGCTCCGCGGCACGTGGGATCTTCCCGGACTGGGGCACGAACCCACGTCCCCTGCATCGGCAGGCGGGCTCTCAACCACTGCGCCACCAGGGAAGCCCAGATGGCACATTCTTGAGGTCCTTCTCATTTTCATACCATGAGTTAATTTGTGGTAACAAAGAACAGAGTGTCACCTATTAGGTGTGTAATAGACATTGGCTGAATAAATGGGAAAAGCTTCAGATGTGAAATCTGGTAGACTTCTGTTAAGATGCTGCACTTTGGAACTACCCACTGACCATGGGACTAAGAGGACGCAAATGAAACTAAGCTTCTCTGCTAAGGACGTCCAGAACCTCAGGAATTGCCCAAGTTCCATGCGGAACACATCCCTAATTAAAAGTGCTCCTGACCAAGGATTAAACAACAGGAGAATTAGCTCCTGGTTCTTGCTCACTTGTTTCTGCACAAATCACTCTTATTCTTCCTTTTCTGAGACCTCAGCCAATCTGTTGTTAAAACTTCTTGTTTTTTGTTACTCTCTTCTTGGGCTTTCCTACTGCAATCCTGCTTGGTGACTTTTGACTCAAAATGCTTTAAATTCTTGGTGAATGTGGGTTACGATAGCTAAAGATACCAGTCTAAAGATGGGGTGAGGGCGGGAGCAGGGTGCTAAAAGCTGATGACCAGAGTCAATTGATTCCTCCTGGACTCAAGGACAGGGGTCAGAGATTTGCTAGGATAACCCTAGGGCTTTACAGGGTAGCATTCAAAGAAGGGAGTGCTACTTGAGACATAGGATTTTAGGACAAAGGATATCAATAAGTAGAAGACTAAACACAGATTAAGAGCTAAGCAGCAAGTTAGTTGGCTGAGGGCATTAACCCAGTATAATTAATTAAGTTTTTAAACATGTTGAATTTAAGGTGTCATGATAACACTCAGGAATGTTTAATTTTCATTTGGGTTCATGAGTCTACAATGTATGAGTAGACTATAGGCTAAAACCATGGTAATAACAGTAAGTAGCTGAAGAGGATAGATGTAGAGAATAAATGCAGAAGGTGGAGTATCAGTAGCCACTGAAGAAATGTAGAAGAGCGTACTACTTAGTTGCTGATCATATATATAACATAGAGAAAAGCACTGTGTATCTATTCAAGGAAGATTTTCATTTAGATTTTCACTAAATGGACAATATGCCTGCCACTACTACTTAGTTTTAGGACAGATG